GTGTGTGTGTGTGTGTGTGTGTGTGTGTGTGTGTGTGTGTGTGTGTGTGTGTATGTGTGTTAGGTGCTCTTGGTGCACGCATATCATACGAGTATTGTGTTTACGCTTATATGCGGGCGGCGCCGTAGACCTATAGAAACGCGCTTATTGCGACGTATACAATAATATAATATATTTAATACAATACGACTGTATATTGTAAAGGAATACTATGGTTGCGAAAACCCTTTTGCAGCGATTGTTATTGGCGCGAAAAAACGCGCGATTTCACTGTGATTGGCGACGGTGGCGTGGCGTTAAAAACGGTTTTTCCGAACGTCTTCGTAAACGTCAGTTCACATAATTGTACAGTTGTGCATTTATAGTTAATACGCATAGTATGCAAACGTAGCCCACACCGTGTAAGTTGCGTTTCCCGCAAAAAAAAAAATAAAATGTCCCAATAGTTTTGACCTCCGTCATGTATACATGTAATAATAATAGTCGCATTCGTCTAACTACCGATCTGCACACTCTAATATATTAACTATTATTTACATATTATATAATTTACTTCACATCGAGAGAATTGACATTTGTATAGAAAGTTCGTACAAAATATGTCCGCCCAGGACGAGGATGATTTCGGAAAAAGTCGATAAAATTGCCATGTGACGTCATCTGCAGGTCGAAATTAATATAATTATTCTATTGTGCGAATAATAAACGGCAAGGACTTGATTTGATCCTCGGTGGCTAAATACGCGAAGTCGCAAACACGCAGTTAAACGGGAGAATCGCAATCGCAGCAATGTAGTGAATATAATCATTAACCGTCATTACTTATAATATCATTTCGTCTTTTGTATATTATCATCTCGGTATTAGACTTGGCACCTACCTATTCATAAAATATTTTATGTGTATATGCCATATGGTTCAGAGACTGTCGCTTCCTCAAGATTTAGGCAGGATTGCAAACAGTACAAGCGTATTCATGATGTATTATTATGGGTACTTCAAGCAATCGGGATTTTATTTTGATGACTTAATATATAAAATAAGTTTAAAAAAAAAATGTACAGACTATAATATAATATTAATTCTATTGGCAAGCTGAAATGCCCGTACTCCTCCTCCACAAGACACGATATCCAAACAGCTTTATTTTAAATCAACGGTAAAATTGACATCTCTGCCTTACGCGACGCTATATATAATATTACGCCTACAGACTTCACGATCTCCTTCCGGCTATGTACAATATAAGTAATATAACATAAAATTATATTATGTATACATATTTCGGTTCGGTATTAGTGGTGGCAGAGGGGGTGGTACCGGTGCATTCTCATCCCCGCGCCTTCCGACCGTTATAGACTCGTGGCGCGCGCGAGTACACAATCGTCCCCTCCGCCGCCCTGCCGACCGCCTGCCTAGTGCAACGGCAAAAAGCAATCGGCCAACGGGCAACACACGTAACGTCGTTACAAAATACACTCGCGCATCGGCAGCTGCCGCTTTCCTTTTGTTACGCTCCGGCGACCCCCGACCGGGGACTATCGCGGCGCCGGAGGGGGGTGGTGTTTGGAGGGGTAATGAGTGTCGGAAGGAAACGCTGTAGTCGACGCATGTGCGCAGGGGAGACCGTAAATATAGTAATAATATTAATATATATATTTTGTACTCTGGCCGTTAGCGAGGCCACTTCTGCCGGTCCTGCAACCGGTGGAATCGTGGTAGTGGAGGGAGTGGCGATAGTCATCATATATATGCTATCGTCCACAAAACAAAACATAAAACGAACGTTAAAAGTCGTTATTATATTCTTTTTCTATGGTTATTACTTAGGTATTATTATTATACCGCCGAGGCCTGCGGCGGACGCGCGTGTCCGGATAGAAGAAGAAGAAGCTAGAAGACTATTATATTATTATTATTGCACGCACTTTGTTCACTCTAACCTCGAAATATATTTATCGTATGTGTTTCGTGTCGTTTATTTGGTACAAAGCGATTATTGTCAGTTTCAGTAAACGATCATATTTAAAATGTCGAATACATTCACGTATGTAAAACTAAACTAATTGGTATATTTTGATGTTTACACAAGAGTATTGGACAAGTGGGACCTCTAATCCTGCTGTGCGGTGGTCACTTGTCACCTTAAGTTTCTAGTATTCTACTGTAGATCAAAATCGTGTTCGTTAATTTTGGAAAATAGTGGTTGTCTTGCGTGTTTCATTATTTATATAGCACAGAGAAGTATTTAGACCATTGTTGTAGAGCCCCCTTGTAGTTTTATGGAGGCAACTGTTGACAAAAGGTGTGTCGAAGAATTAATTATTATACATTTATAACCACAACGTTTACAACGGGCTACAAATTACGAAACAACAGATGTGTGTGTATTTTCAACTTATTATTTGTTTTATTTAAGCAAGACGTTTTGCATACACTGAAATAATATAAAATGAACACATTTTATGGATAAGCAACTGAGAGTTAAATAAATCATACTTTTTTAAGTAAAAAAAACTTCAGTATTCTAGTGATTCGGTTTTCTATCAAAGTGTTGTTTTCATTTTTTTCAATAAATATACTGCCCCAACTTATCCAATAAATCATTAGTTATTCAATTTAGCAACCACGTTTATCGAAAGAACGAAATTGGTAATATATAGGTATACCAAATATATATATTATACATACATAGATATTTGTATATACCACTGTAGATTATAGTCTATAATCTACCGTGGTATATACTAAGCACACATTACAACACATCGGTTATTGAGCTTAAAATATTTAAAACGCGTTGCCCATTGAGTATTGCCATAATTCTTACAGCTATGTTTCCAGTGCGCGTTATTTTCTTTGATAACATAATCTCATTTAGTGCAATCATTTTGCCGATAATAATGATAATGACGATTGACAACTCTCAAAGTCACGACGGCCACTGACCTTGTCGTTTCTAATATACGATTAATTTTACTGTTCATTTGATGACAACGATGAACGAAGATCCGAACCATTATGTTATTCATATTACAGACTTTATAGTAGGTACCTACGTTGCTACGTGCTACGTAAAAAAAAGAAATTCGGTGTACATTTACGGGCCTTTTGAACCATTTAAAATGTAAAAACGCCCATCGTGTTATACAATGTTTTCACACGACTCTACAGCCTCCCTCTTAAAAAAAAAAACTAGGGTTATTCTGAGATAGGTAGGTTGCTATAGGTATATGAATGTATATAATATTAATAATTTGTGTACACTTACAAGGATCGTACCACGCGTTAAAATTATAATATACCTCGCATATACATATAATTCCCGTCGGACACAGAAGAGACGGTTTTCGCTATCCCGAAAAAGCTAGTTTTCTGGTGCACGCGAAATTTTCCGCCACTGTTATTATTATCGATGTTATCGCGTGTTCACATGTCGCGTCCTATTATTAACGCCGCGATCGAGCTGTACACTGTTATGTTTACATGGCTACGCTGTAGCCGCGATTACAATAATAATATTATACGTGCATAATACTATGATACTTATATATTATATTATAACGCACACGCTTCGGAAATTATAGCGAATATTCCACGTCCGCTGAGATATTGCGCCCACTGAGCTGTTGTGCGAGACGTATAATATCAGTCTAATTCGATCGCTGCCTTCGAAGTCGAAACGAGCGAATAATAATATTAAACGATAGGTAGGTATATGCCGTGATAAAGAAATTATTATACAATCGGAATTTTTTTATTTTGCACTTGCGCATTTTTTTATGAGAATATTTATTGGTAGTAAGTTTATATATTATGTATATGTACATAATATGTGTATGTGAGTATATTATCTGTACTCCAAAATCGTATTATTATGATTTATGTGGCAATATATTATAATTTATAATATAATGAAGTTAAACAGGACTGCGTACATTTATAGTAAAATGAAATACCAGTAATAAGTGCGTAAAGGGTGTGCGTAGAGGATCAAATACTATATAAATATTACACATTGTGATGTCTCTATAATGCTATATATCATATAATACGATTCTATATATTATTGTGAATTAAAAATATGACAAGCCAATTAAAAATCGTCAAATATTTTGAAACCCCCTTTTAAAAATCAAATTTGTAAGTTTTAATCATGGCTTTAGATGGAAAGCCTCATGTTTATACATGGTAATCCAGTGATACTTTTAAGATTTAACGGTAGGTACACTCATTCTCTCGAAAAATATTAACTTATTTTTTCAAACCAGTTATTTGTTAATATATTTATTTTTATTACTTACTTTTTATTGCTATCGTTTATTTTTACTTTTTTGCAATAGCGTATAATATTATTAATTTCATAAATAGATTATTTTTCTAAGAATATAAAAACCGGAAAAGTCGCATTGACATATGTCAAGACGTGTATACATACCTCTTAATTGAGCAAGTTAAACTAAAGCAGTGGATCAAAGCACTATTTTTTCTTATTAGGTCCAATTTGCAACCAGAAACCTCTCTCAAAGGTGCCGAAGACACACAAACATTTTTTTTTTTTGAAAACACCTACAGAGTATACATTAATTAATTCATTCAGAATCTAAAATTGAATTTCGAACGGATAGTTAAATAGTTGCAGCCTTACGGTCTTATTAGTCTTACAGGTATTTAAAGTTCAGATGGGTGGAGTAATGGAGTAGTATATAGGGGTTATAAAGTGGGTACTCCGCAGAATGCTGGGTCCACTCAGCTCATCAAAACTTAAACAAAAACTTTAAATATCTACTAATTAACTACTCGTTCAAAATTTGGATATTATTTAA